ATGGCCAGAAACTACTACAGGTAAATAGCTTCACTATCCAGAACCTCTAACTGATATATTCAAGGTATTGGGTATATAAGAGAATTATAACTCCTGATAGATGTCAACTATACTGAGTTTGTGGTCCTGCAACATTGATGAATTAAGTCACAAACTAAAGGAAGACATTAGGAGAGTTTTATTGGAAATAATGAAAGAAGAATAGCTCTTAGATATCCAGGAGGGATCCTGAATTGGTGGCCACTGTGGCCCTTTGTCAGGGGTAATTCATATAGTAAGTCACAATGTGGGTACAATGTGGGTCAAACTAAAATCAGCCTATAGGATTACAAGTATAGCTCCTTAGCTAATATTGATCTAATAGGCAGACAAATGACACAGCAAGGGTACATGAAAAGAACAAAGTCAGTTTTGGGAAGGGATCGATTCAGATGCTCTGGTCAGCCACCTGGGAAACTGATGGCTATCTGGACCTAGTGGACCGAGTCGTGCTAATTACAGGAACAAGTTATTGTTTATCCCTTAGGGAGGCATGTAGGCCTGGTCACTGCATCTTTATCTTGAGGCATGACCTTCTTCAGATGTGCCACCATGGTGATGTCTTTATTTGTGTGCTGATTTCCTTCAGAGCTCAGCCTCCCTGAGTCGGTATTCATTTCTCACTAACTTAACTGTAATGTTGCAACCAGTCTCATGGAACCAGCACTGCCATGGAATCCCCTCACTTAGGCAGGGGCAGCTGGCAACTCCTTACAAAGGACATGAGACAGAATGGCTCCAGAGCCTGTAGTCACTGGTCAGAGGTTTCCTATTGACCTACCACAAAATGGCTGATGGAGAAGTTTTACCTCTTAGGCTGGTTGGTATTTGCATTGCTATCTGCTTTGTCCCAGGGATCCTGGAGTCTTCAAATCCTCATCCCAGGGGCAGACAGAATTTCCTCTGAGCCTCTGAACCTTGATGGAGGAAACACTGGTTTGCACAAGGTCCAGTCAGCTCAGCAAAGCCTGGCAACCCCTGTGTCAAGCACATGGCAGAAGGAAAATGTTCCTGCTGCATAGCCATTTCAGACACTATTTCCACTTGTCAGAGGGGCTCCACAAACAACGTTCGCCTCTTTTCTTATACCTCCTTTTGTGGCTTCAAAAAACAAAGCAAACAAAAAAAGTCACAGGCGCACCCACCTGATTTTTAGACAGATTTCCCACTCGGTGAACCACCTTGGGGGCACGCCTTCCATAGGAACGAGGCTCTTCCCTTGCCCTTTCCTTCTGGCTTCCTCTTTTGATATGGGTCTCTGTGAACACAGAACATCAGGATATTACCACCAGTCTCATTCAATTGGTAGTTGTGTGGAGGAGTTTGACTTGCCCATTCCCCTAGAAAGTCATATGTCACTTGGCCTCTGGCTTGGGGGCACTTCACTTTTCTCTGGGCAAGAATCCAGTAGTAACAGGGCTGTAGAATGTGTTGACCCATCTAACAGAAGAAAGTAGGGCACACAGTTCAGGAAGGGCACTTAGGCCTCCAGCTACCTCTCACTGGGCCATGGCACTCATTTCTGTACCGCACTGTCGGTGGACCCTTGTTATGGACATTGTAGGGAGGCTTTCCAAGAAAAACTACTGATGCGCTCACTAAAACAAACACTGGCTCACAAGTTAGGGTGCTGGCCTCCCTGTGCACAACCATTGGTAGACAGGCTAGCACGCTTCATTGCTACACAGGCGGGACCAAGTTCTTCTGCCATGCTCGGTTCATGCAACTCCATTGGGTAATGTCACCACTGGGATGGAGGCACACTTAGAGGCTAGAAAAAAGAGGCTATAGCATTGAAGTAGTATGTGGGGGGAGAGGGGGAGGGAGTTAGTGCCGTAAGTATATCTACCTTGTTTTCAAACTGTAATCTGGCTTCTGTGCATTATATAACTTGGAAACTGATATCACAAGTTAGAGGACAAGTTAGGCCACAGTGTTATTATGGATTATCACAGCACATAGCACAGAACTTTTAATACAGGCTGAACTTACTTCATATGCTTTCTAGAGTTCACCTTTGTGACCTCATGTCCTCAGGCTCCTGTATGCCCATTTATACTGAGGGAAACACATCTTTGCTTGAATGTACACACACTCATACACAAGCTATCCACATGGGAAGTTCAGTGCCCTTGGCACTCACCTTGCTCTTTCCATACATAACCTACCCCACCTTTTCCTGACTGCCTTCCCCCTTCCCTGTCCTGCGATTGGGGGTGGAATGGCTGAGCAGCAGCAGACCTGACACAACACATCTCTCGGTATGGTGAAGTTTCAAACTTTGGAATCCAGAGCTGACAACTTTGCCCTCGCTGATGGGTCTGTTCCTGTTAGGGAATGCAATACCCCTCGGGGTACCACCTGTACACTGGGATGTGGAACATTTCAGCTTTTGCTGCTGATTTCTGCTTCACTAAAGCAATTTATTTATTTTCCACCGGTTCCTATTCTTGTTTTCACTTCCTGATTGCTACTTCTTTTCTTCTGATTCTTGTTTTATGATGGTCAGGTGTGGTGGGATAGGGTGGGAATACAGAATTATCAGTAAGGATGGTGAACTTATGTCTGTGGGAATTAAAACAACATTGGACAGAGCAGGTGCAAAGTCATACCTGACCTCCTAACCTTAAACATCATCGGTGTCATTCTCATCACATTTGAGTTCCATTCCTGCCAAATTCACCTCTACCAGGAACCCCTGTGACCATCTCTTTCCTGCCTGTGGGGTATAGGGAGGTGTGTGTATGTGTGTGTGTGTGTTAATTTGTGAGAGTGGAGCATTATGGTTGTTTGCAATGAGCTGATGGCCTTCCAGGGTCATGGTTCAGTCTTTGCATTTGCCTTTCATAGTTCCTACAGGTCTCTGGGTATATTAGGAAACTTGATCTCATTCAGGAGGCATCCCATTCAAAATAGGGTTCTCAGTGTTGTGTCCTTTCCAAGGAAGGGAGGCAAGTGGTGACACCCTTTCCCTCCTGCGTGGCCCTCTTATTTCTTCTGTAGGGTACTACTCACTGAAGGACCCTAAACTAAATCCATAAATACATCCCTGGTGGCGTGAGGGTGCGTGCTAATTCTTCTCTTTGTCCTCATCCTGTTTGACTTGTAGCTCCTGGTTCTCCTCTTCCTCCTGTTTTGTCTCTTCTTTCTCTTCTTTCTTCCACTCCTATTATCCACTTTCTTTTTCTTTCATTGATTGGTGCTGGTGGGATTGGTGTTCTGTGGACACACCTCCTTTCTTGGTTTGCTAAGTATGGGAATATACCTTTGTATCATACTTTGTATCATGGTGGGGGCCTCTCCACTATTTTTTAAAATTCAGTAGAGTTGGAGGTCACCAGCACAGACCCTCTGGTATTCCAAAAGTTCATGCAAAGGTTATTTGTGAGTTAATGGTAGCCATGAGTGCACTGTTCCCCCAAAACCTCAAGGCCTTCCTTTTGAGTCTTCTCCTGTAGAAGCAGGAAAATTCCAATGTAGATCCACCTGACACTTTTTTCCCCAGTTCTGGGGGCTGAACTCAGGGTTGTGCACTGAGCCGTGTCTCTAGCTCATTTTGTATTCATACAGCATCTTGCCAAGTTTTCCAGGCTGGGTCATCGTGTGATCCTCCTCCTCCTTTTATGCAACCTTTGCCACAGCCTTCTCTTTGGTCTTTACTAAAGATTCTGTTTGTAGCTCGCTTATCTTTAAACTTTCTCTTCGAAATATCATCCATACAATGACTTGTGCTATTATGTTGCTGACTTCCACATTATCATTTCTAGTTATAACTGTTCTCCTAGCTATAAAGGATTCTCTCTTAATATTTCTTCACCTTTCCACTATGCTACTGCTATACCTGAAATTTTACTCTTTATTATTAGTATCTGAAAAAAAAACACAAAGTCATTTATTTCACAAACATTTAATGTGTGTAAAAGGCGGTGCTGTGTACTTGGAGGAAGATAGTGATGGTGGAGATGAGAGGTTGTTATGATAGGAGTGATTTAAGTGTAATACTCTTAATTATGGCTATTCTTCACAAAGAGGAAAGTATTAGGCTTTGGAAATCAAAATTCTAAGAATTTAATTAACTACTTAAAGACCATAGAGATTTACATAACACAGCTTATTGAAAACCAGTTCTTTTTTGATAGTAAGAACTGAACTTTCCATGTTAGGAAACACTGAGTGTAGTGCTGAAAAACTCTGGTTTAGTTTGTTCCAACAGCCAAAGGCTCCTAAGTAATAGGGATACTTGAATGACAATAGTGAAGGAAGCCTTTTCTTCTAAGTTACAAGTACTTTGTTCTACTTACTTACCACACCCCATAGAATATAACATATCAGCAATAGTCAGTTGAGTTATTATTTCCCATAGATCAAAGAAAAAAGTTGCCAAGTATGCAGTGAGATCAATGGTCAGGTTTCAGAAAGTTCCTAAATATTGAAATGTGAAAAAATTGGGTTAGCTTTCAATTATTAAAAAATTTAAAAATATGATCACAAAAAGTGATTTTGTATTCTATGATATGGTGAATTTATTTTTCACATTCAATTTCCCATGATCAGTGGTGCTATTTTGAACTCTAGGCAGCTAGCTACTCAACAGGTTTGCATATTGCTTTTTAAGTGATTGTAGCTACTGTCCTGGCTCTGTAATACGCAGCTGCAACTAGGTTGTAATGCTCTTAAATAATTTCTTTCGTTACCTTACTCTACCTGGCCCTCCCAAACATTTCTTGCAAAAATTATGTAATACTTGCGAAGAATTTAGTTGCAATTGGTGGGCGGGACGCTATGAAGAGCATTATATTAAATATACACATTCTTTTATTTTTAAGTCTCATCCTACTAGAAACGTTAAAATGGGACGGGGTATGAGGGGCGGTGGTGGGCGTGGGGTATGTGGAGGGTGGAGGCAGCGAGGGGATATACGTCTCAGGATACAGGAAATACGGTAAGAGACAAACCCGGAGGAAGCCTGCTCTGTGCCTGGAGGGGATCCGCCGCCATCTCAGGTCTTTCTGATTTGCCGGCGCCCAGTGGAGGAAACTGACTAGGTCCTGTAATACTTATGGAAGACCAACCCTGTGCCTCCGGGAGATCCACACTTCCACTTGGAAGCACGCGGGAAGCCAAGCCTCCAAAAAAGCGCTGCCTCCTTGCTCCGCGGTGGGATTATCCGGAAGGAACTCCAAACAGGGGTAGTGCTACTCTCCCCTCTGCACCTCCTCCTGCATCAGCCGGTCTGAAATCGCACCCTCCTCCTCCGGAAAAGTAGTGAAATACGTAGGGTTTCCTACCCTAAACCAGGTCAGATTCTTTCTTTCTCAAGTAGGACATCCAGGCTCGCTGCAACTTAATTATACATTTTTCCCAATCTCATCTTCTGCATTTCCCTGTTCTTTCCACAATTTCAAAATAGAAGAAAGAACATATGAAAACTAAACAGCTCTTTCACAGGACACGTTTGGATGAAATGATGGCTATTTAAGAGAACTAAGTATTTATTTAAATATTTCAGATGCTACAAATGTTATATTTTTAATAAATATAATTGAATATTTTTATTTACTTGAAAGTAATTCTGTGGGGCCAAGGTTGAGCATTCATGAGTTTATAAGTTACAACTGGGTGATGTATAGGTGGAGATTCATTATACTCCTCTCTAATTACATGTATATTTGAAATTGTTCCATTTAAAAATGCCTAGTTCAAGAACAATAAGAAGAATATATTGAAGGCCTACTGCCTAGGCCCAACACTGTGCAAACAGAGGGGATCATAAGATGAGCTTTCAGAAGTACCTCTGAGTAAGGCCAGAGATTTGAATAAGTTAAAATAAGTTACAACATGATAGTCACACTCAAGTGGCATAATGAGCCATTAAAAAGAAAGAGGAAACTTCGGGAGGGTTTTGAAGGGTGAGTGACATCTGCCAAATGGAGGAGGATGGAATGCTTTTTGGACCTAGGGTTTCCAGAACAAAAGCCCCACTGTAGACTTTTTATGGGAACAGTCTGCTATAATTGTGACTCTGTCAGAAGCACTAAGAGGTGAGGATAGAACGTCATAGGGCCTGGGATGTTACACAGTTTATACTATAAACCAGAAGCCAAAGAAGATTTTCACACAAATGATATTATTATTATTTTAAGAGTCAATTCTGACTATCAGAAAAACAGTTTCCTATTGAAATGAACTTTATAGAATACAAAAATTCAAACCAAATTTTACCCAAACTTTGTAGATCCTTACACTTCAAAAGAGAAAGCCATCCTTTCTTCATTCATAAAATAAACTTCTACGGAGCCTTTAAAATGGGGAAGTATCGTGCTGGGAGTTGGAGAGGAAGTACAACCAAAGCATGGTGGCTGGTACATACGAGGAATGAAACATACTTGCATAAATATGTTACTGAAGGCAGAGATAACACTGGCAACCATGGGCGTTCTGGATATCAGGTTTGGTGGTACAGCAAAGAAAAAGAAGAAACTCTATTTCACTTGAAAGTATTTCCTTGTCATTCCATAAAGCCTTACTTCCCTCATTTTTATTTCTAACGAGGTTAATGAAATGTATAGATACAGGGCTTAGTGAAAACAATATTCACCTATAAAATGAAGGTAGTTATGTGGGGAAAGAAGTGCAAGAGCTACGTAATTTCACCCTTAGTGATTCAAATCAGTGTAACTTGTAATAATAGCCATTTTTTTCCTGAAGATGTTTTTATGTGCCAGACACTGTTCTAAAGGGTTTTGTATGTTTCAGTTTATGTAATCACAAAATTCCGCTAAGGAGGTTCACATAGACTGAGGGAAGTTTACCTTGCTACATGTTATGTGGAACTAAGTGGTTAAGGTGGAATTTGAACTCACAACAATTGGTTCCAGGGTCTATGCTCCAAACTGCTGTGTCATACACCCCTTCTAATACTACACGAACAACTCTTGTAGGACTGTGTCATTGACATCGAACAGGAATGAAGCACAAGGAATTAAAGTGGTTAGGGATAAAATAAATCTGCAATAGCAGAAGAAATTATTTCACCTTATTTTACTATTTTTCAGTATTCAAGGGATTGCAGTATGATTCCATTTCCCTGGTGCAGCTGTAAAATAGTTCACCTAGTGAAGACAATAAGGACATTTTACACTGCTACCCTGCATTTTCTGATGTCCAGCACCTGGAAGATGTGATTTTTAAGGTAATCTCTTCATTAAAATTTTATTAAAAAGAGGAACAACAGTTGATTTTGACACATTTAAAATAGGTTGCAAAATACAAAATCAGAAAGCTAGCACCACTGATAAAATTGAAATCATTTTCTACATTGTAGAAAACCATATATAGCTAATAATATTAGCGTAATCTGCGAGGTGTTTTTTTAGGTCTACAGCTAATTTACCTTACAGTTTCCGATGCTGCTCTAAAATAAATTTTTTTAACCACATTTAAAAATTGCTGCCATTTAGTTGGAACATGATTGATACTTTTATATACTGATTTTATATGTTGCAGCCTTTCAAATTTTATTTATTCTTATAATTTATACATTCTTTTGGATTATTTGCTAATTGCATTGTGAATAATGGCAGTTTTTTCCTTTCCATTACTTTTCTTAAGCATATGTTATTGTGCTATCTAGGAGCTTCAGTACAAGGAGAAATAAAAGTAGTAGAGCCTTTCCTTGTGTTGGGCTTGAACTTTTCGAGTTTCATCTCTTGTTTAGGTAGATTTTCTCTTTCAGGTTAAGGAAGTTCCTTTGTGTTCCTGGTCTACTGAGATTTTTTTTTTTGATACCAGGAGTCGAACTCAGGACCTTGTGCTTTCCAGGCAGGCACTGTGCCACTGAGCTATATCCCCAGCCCATGTACTGAGATTTTATTGTAAATAAATGCAGGATTTTTTTTTCACAAAATACTTTCTATCTACCATAATCATAATTTTTCTCCATTGATATGACAGTGTGAGAAATTACAATAATCAATTTTTTAATGTATTTCCTGCTTTTGCTTTTGTCAGTCCTTTGAATACTTTATTTTCCATTTTAATAATTTTTGAGTTTCTTTTTATATTTCTCTTCTTTAGTTTCATTGTATTAACTTTTTTCTAACTTATTGAATTAGTTCTTTATTTTAGTTCATTAACTTTCTATCTTCTTTATTAAAATAAGGATTTAGGACTGAATTTTCTTTTACCATGTTAGAATAATTTCACATTTTTAAAAACTTTTATTAGTACTGTACATATTTGCAATACATGATGTTTACATTCATCTTCAGGAGTAGGTATATGTACTTCACATATCTTGATTCTTTTCATTCCCCTCCCCTCACCACCACGTTCCATCCCTCCATCTCTAAGTCCCCTTGCTTCATTTTTATGAGTATTTTTATTTTAGTTCATGTTTGCAGCATATAATGATTACATTCGTTGTTGGTAGTTGATACATGTACATGGTGTTTCTTAAATCTTTGTACATTCCCCTCTCCCTCCCCCAACCTTGGTCTTTTGGTCCCCTTCCCATATGGAAAGATATGTCTCTTTGTTTCCTTTTATCAACATTTTATTTTGCTCTTCATTTGTACTTTGGATTATTCAAATGTATTAACATACAGAATGAAACTTGTGTCTGATATATTTTACTTATATTTTTAAGATGTATCAATTTTCCTACTAATCTCTTGAATTTACCCTTCTGTATAGCCAAGTAATAGTCTATTATGTATAGATACCACATTTTCTTCATGCATTTGACTATAGATGCATATATAGGCTGCTTCTAGGGTTTAGCTATTATGAATTGTGCTACCATAAACATTGGTACCATGTATTGCTTTAATATGATGTCTTCAGCTCTTTTTGGAAGGTATTTAAAAGGGGAATAGCTGAGTCAAATGGCATTTGCACTTTTTTTGGAGAAATCTCCATACTGTTTTCTATAATGGTTGTACTAGTTTACACACCCACCGATAATATAGAAGGGTTCCTTTTTCACCACAGCCGTGCTAGCATTTGTTATTATTTGAATTCTTGACGATTGCCATTTTTTCTGGAGTAAGATGAAATTTTTCTGTTGTTTTAATTTATCTAACAGCCGGAGATGTTGTACATTTTTCATGTGTTCATGGATCAGTTGTACTTTTTTCTCTGAGAAGTATCTGTTCATTTCATTCGCCCATTTTTTGATTGGGTCTTTTATTTTGGGGGTATAATACTTTTGAGTTCTTTATGTATTCTAGATGTTAGTCTTTTGTCTGAGGATTAGCTGGCAAAAATTCTTTCCTATCCTGTTGGTTGTCTCTCTCATGTTTTATATGTAGTATTTTATTATCATTCAGTATTTATTACTTTCTAATTTTTCTTATGATTGCTTATTTGACTTATGAGTTACCTTTTTAAAAGTCCAAACCTATAAACCTCCTTTTAAAACTAACATTATGAAATTATTAGCCCAGATATAATTAAACTTTATCCTCTTTCTGCTTTAAAAACTTTAATCTTGCCAAAATTATATATTGACTGCTCATTCCAATAGAATTTGATGATATAAAACTAATCATTTCATTAAATACATAGAAAGTGAATGGCTATATTTATTGATGGTATTATTGCTGATTTATATGCTTATGTCTTTAAACTTTTTGTTTTGATTTAATTCTACAATTAACTGTGAGAATATTTAAAAGAATTCTCGTAGATACACTTTCCTCACATTTGCCAATTAACATTTTCACATATTTGCTTTATCATTCTCTTTTTTCCTTGATTCCCTCACCCATTTGACAATAATTTTTTGACAATAATTTACAGATATTATCTTTCAATATTTCATTGTGTGTTTTCTAGGAGTGATGACTTTCTTTTACATAACCTCAGTACATGTGTGAAAATCAAGACATTTACACTATTCTGATATTATTATCTATTTCATATAATTTCAACAGTTGTTTCATTGTCTGTTATAGCTATTTTCTTTCCTTGGTTGCAGTTACACTCTAGGATGATGCATTACATTCAGTTTTTTATATTTTTCCAGGCCTTACTCTGAAACATTGTTTCTACTTTGCTTTCGTGACATTGATAAGTATTTTTAAGACAATATGTTGTGAAGTGTTCCTCAATTTAAGTTTTTGGGCTGTTTCCTTATTATCATATTTTGCTGATGCATATCGGTAGGAGTATCACAGACGTAATGTTGAGTTATTTTCAGGGTATTGTATTGTTGGCACATGCTTGTTGGACCCATTAGGAACAGTGTTAACTTTGATTGCCTTGTTTAAACTGTGGGCACAGTCAGGCATGGTGGCACACGCCTGCAATCCCAGCACTTGGGAGGCTGAGGCAGGAGGATCATTGTGAGTTCGAGACCAGCCTGGGCTACAAAGTGAGCTCAAGTCTAGCCTGAACTGCATAGTGAAAACCTGCTCAAAAAAGACAAAATAAATAAATAAATAAATAAATGATGAAATTGTGGGCTTTATCTGGATTAATCCACTCTTAAGTTACCATTTTTGTTTATGTAGTTACTAATTTTACTGAGACTATTGGAAATGGTGTCAATGTCTTGCTCTTCATCAAACTATTTCCATTACTTTTTGCATCCATTAATAATTCTTGACTGAATTAGTTATTACTGTGATAAATACAAAATAGTAATTATCAAACTGCATCATTTTTATTACATACACTAGTTTATACTTTAAGGAAGAGCTTTTTAAAATTATTTATTTATTTGGACACATAACTTTTTACTTTATTCCACAAAAAGCCTGTTGCCATTATTACTTATTTTGATACTCAGCTTGGCTGAAATTTAGCCAGGGCTGCTAGTTCAAGATGTCTTTTCTGTCTTTTTGAAATGTGTCAGTCTTGACACATATTTTGATTTATTTTAACACTGACTTTTCCTTTTCCTTACTTTAATTCTCATCTTGTATTTTCTACCTCATTAATCATTTCTCTGTGGGACTGTAGGACTGGGTGATGGCATTTAAAAACTGGGACTTGGCCATATGGTTCCTTCTGAACATTTTGCTATTGTTTCCCATTTAATTTCATTGAGTACAGCCTGTTTTATATGATACTACTTATTTACTCTGTTGAAATTTTTGCCTTATGCCCTAGAGAACATGATAAAAAATAGTGTTTCATGTGTGTCCATAAAAATTTTATATGTTCTAATTATTATATTTAGAGTTTTATGAATACCCATTAAACACATAAATTGTGATGTTTGTCTCCTATATCCCTAATATTTTTGTTTGTTTGCCAAATCTATCAGTTACTGAGAGAAATAGATTTAAAATCTTCCACAGCGATTGTTGATTCGTCAAATTCTTGCACTTCTGTCAATTTCTGTTTTTAGAATTGAGGCTTTGTAATTGTGTGCATAGAAATGTAGAACAGATACTTTTTTATTTTTAGTGACTTTTTATCTTTTGGCATTTGAAATTCATTTTGTTTGCTATTAAAATAGTCATACAAGCTTTCTTTTGTCTGAATTGTATTTCGTTTTTAGTTACTTTTTTTCTTACTCTCTTTTTTTTTTTCTTTTTTTTTTTTTTTTTGGTTTTTTTCTCCGGTACCGGGAACCGAACTCATGACCTTGCGCTTGCCAGGCAGGCGCTTTTGCCGCTGAGCTAAATCCCCAGCCCCCTTACTCTCTCTTTTTATCTTACATTTTTCAGAAAATGTCAGTGTGTTGATTTGTCTCTGAATTTATAAGTAACGTTTATAACTAGTAGTAAGGATAAGCTTTGTGTACCTAAATGGTATTTTTTCATTAGCATTTTATTTTGTAAAATTTCAACCATATGGGAAGATGAAAATATATCTTTCATGTAGATTCATCAGTTGTTATATTTTGGCTCTTCACTTTCTGTAAAAACACAGACACACTTTTTTGACTGAACTATTTGGTCATGACACTTTAGACTTAAACACTTTTATCATGTATCACTTAAGAACAAGGGTATTAGTACAGTAAGAAAAATTTGACATTAATAACACTACCTAATATATTGTTCATACCAATTTTTCCCAGTTTTCCTAATAATATCTTTATACCTTTTGTTTGCTTGATGCAGTCAAGGGTCTTACATTTAGTCTGACTATCCTGACACATTACTCTTTTTAAATGTATAATAAATAGCATGCTCAGCTTTTAATTTTTCATGATATTGGCATTTCTGATGATTCCAA